AAAAGCATTATATACGTGACAAGGGTTTATAAAAAGGGAAATTCTACTCACCCACAAGGGCCAGAGTCAAGGCAAGTACAACCGTTCTCATGGCTGATGGGAATGTGAATGTCAGTGGAGTGGGCAATCCTTTTATAGAAACAAATTGTGCTGATTTCAGGTATGCTTGATAAATACAATCTCTGAGAAAGGTTTCACAATTTTAAATACAAACAAGCTTGGGTTATTGGTGTAGGAAATGGTGGCAGGGTGTGTATCAGTGGATGAAAAGTTAATGTCACCTGACCTTGTTCTCCTCAAATATGCCAAGTCAAAGTTATGAAACTTTTCGATCACAGTCGCTTTATGTGCTTTTATCAGCAAACATGTAGCCAAGACACAACAGGTTTAACGAATAGATCAACAGTACAACTTGTATGCTGCATGCTGTACAGTTGAAACATTTGGAAAAATGTTTTTTCTCAAAACATTTTTGGGGTTTTCTTGCGTGTGAAAGGTAAGTTTTTATGATTTACTTATTTTGATTTTATGTGTAGCCATGAATGTGTATGCATCAGATTGTTGACAAGCAGTTTCAAAGTTCACACAAAAAGGGCACCATGACTATGGCTGTTTGCTCTCTTTATTTGTTGTAGTCAGCGTGACCTCTAATCGACTCGTCGTTACATGTCACAAAGAAATGGTCACATATGCTTCCAATATGTGTTCCTGTCCCCAGTGATACATAATTATCAGACAGGATTTATACAACTGTGCACATTACACATCCTAGATCATAAAACATTAAAAGCTTTTAATTAATAGAACACAGAATCAGGGGCAGACGGAGGTTTAAGAGCTTTACTGTTAAACAAGGTAACAAATCAAAAAGCCTAGAGTGGGTGGTTCATATTGACGTTCTAAGTCATGATGTGAAGTGAAGTGACTAAGAACACGCCTTAGAATTGTTTTACATGACACAATTATTATGAATTTTGTGATATCTAGTGTTGAAATTGCATGTTGCAGCTGAACACCCCTCACCTCACCCTCTCCTTCCAAACATGAAAAAGAACCTGTGGTAGCCTTCAACTGTCATAAAAACTCAAAAGGTGTTTAGTTTGTTCAGTCTGGACTAATGTAAAAAACATGGCGACCTCCGTAGAGAGGGTCCTCTTGATGTAAATATAAAGTATTTGAATATAAAGGAGTAAAGAAAACTACAAAACATACAATTTAGAACTAGTGAAAACATCATGAGGATTATTCTATATTAAAATCCTGCCAATAGTTCCCTTCCACCTAAATCTTACACACTGGACCTTCAAGACAGGGTTGTGTATGGTCACCACTATTCTGCTTTACATTTGAAACCACTGACTCATTATATTAAACAAAGTAAAATTTCAGGGGAATTATTATTAAAGTGGCATACATCAGCCTGTTACATGCATCATGTGCTTTGAGGTGAAGGGCAAACAACACCTTCTTTACCCAAGGTGATGCAATATTTGAATATTATGGTCATAGTGAGATAAAAACAAAATTACTTTCTTTTGTCTCATCTCAAGGACTGGAAACACAGCATATAAAATAAATATATTACCCAGAGGCTGGGTAATATATTTATTTTATATGCTGTGTTTCCAGGCAGGGGATTAACCAAAACCAATCACTGAATGGAATATTATCAAATGTTTTTAAGGTAATGTGGCACCTAGGGTTCATATCAAAACATTGCAGTTAAAGTCTAAGAGGGACATGGCCTATACCTTCTCTTAGAGATGATTGTTTTGCAGCATAGGCAAGAGATATACAGTATTTTTTCAAAACATCATATTCCAAAAAGATGGAGAAAATACTTTGTAATCCCCACACAGACAATTGATAACAGTTGATAACACATGAATTAAATGGACACCAAATGAAAATGGATAATTGAGTCAAGGAGTGTACCGCTAAAGGAAGAGGGGCCCTATGCAAGGTTAAAAAAGAAACACAGCTCAGTTTTTAAATGCTTGAAAAAAAGAAGACCAAAAAGTTGGTTAAATTGTGTTAAATCTTTAACACATTCCGCTTAATACATTAAAATGAAATGGAAGAAGGAAGAAGGAGTTAATAGCATCTGAGAAAGAATGGACAACAGTATGGCAATATCAATGGAAGTGTACCAGCTCAAAGATAATTCATTGGGAAAATCTGAAAATGTATTTAATCACACTCTCAGAAATTCTATTTTGATTAACCTTCCTGTTTGCTAGAAACTCAAAATCAATACACTAACTTACTTTATCTTTTTCTTCTTGCCCTGTCATCAGACAATATTGGAGTAGGATACACAATTATAAATGTGAATCCCTTGATATATAGAATATAACATATATACTTCATGAATGGGTGAAGCCTATTACTATAGGCATCGGCAATAATCTTGTTGTAAAGTAAAGATCAGTCCTTTCCTGATCATGGTTCTTTTCCCCCCCTGTATATTCTCTTTGTGTATCACTTTGTTGTTAATAACTACTTTGATAATCAAGGCAACCATTAATGTAACATATGTCAACTCATTTTCGAAATCTCAAGTCATATGATCAAAAGTGGCTGATAAATGAATTCCAAAGGGGACATAGGTGATATTGTTAAAGAAAAAAAACAGTTCTTTAAAGTCTAAATATATTTTCAAAGTTAAACACATACGTTTTTATTGACAGGGATCTGCTGTGTATTTCATGCATCATTTTGATTGCTGGTGAAGCAGGAGCAGAGATAATCAGGCACAAGAGAAATGACACTGATGTACTGCTATAGCTGCTTTGTATATTATCTATAGTAGTTAACATGCTGCTGGATGCAGGAGCTGAATCAGCAAAATCTGCAGTTGTAAAGCTTACATGTTGTTTCTTCTTTGTTTAATCCCTGAAAAGCTGGAGTGTAAGATCACTTCATTACATTTCAATTTTAGCTAAGCTGATTCTTTTCAACGGCTCTATGTACGAAGGGAGCTGAGTCGTACTTGTCTGAGAAACATTCTTCTCAGTGTGCTCAAATTTCATCCACGGCCTGTCCTAAATGAATAAAATCCACACCAGTGAGGCTGCTCCCCTTTACGTAAACAGTGCCAACATTCCCCTCATTGAGAAGTACAAGAGGAAGGAGGCACATCTCACCCTTAATGCACTACATTGATATCAGAGGAAGCTCTTGCCCAATAATAATGTCCCATTGTTTTTATCAGGCAGAGTTTTCATGAAAGCTAGCTTGTGAGTGTCTGTGTGTGTGCGTGTGCTTGTGTTTGAATGATTAAGCCCCAACCACAGTCAAACAGATTCTAATGCATGAACTGCATTCAGGGAAAGGCAACTTCATTTGCATAACACATTTCATACAGAGGGTAAATTCAAAGTGGCGTCATCTTATGTAATGTTTACAGTGGAGATCAGTGACATTAGGTCTGGCAATACCAGTAATTTAGTGCTGCTTAACCACACATGCAAGAAGAAATTATAATGGTGGGATAGTTTGAATCTGAATCTCAAATCTATTATTCCATTGGTTATTTTACCAGAGCTCTTTTGAACAGCTGTCAGAAAGGAACAGAGCCATAAGATACAGCTCCATTCAATGAGCTGTAGTTCCCATCACTACTGGCTGCTAGCTGTATCTAGTTTTTGACAAATAAGTGTTCTGAAGTGGAACTGAAGCCATTCTCCAATTTGAAAACCACAACTGCTATCCCCCTCTTCAACTCAGATTTGCTCCATTCTATGACAGATGCTTTGACAGGAGTAATAAACAGCACTGTTTCATGAGTGTGAAAATGTGTGAAGTAAATGGGTCAAAGACAGGATTGACTGTGTAGTATACTGTTACAGTGCCACATTCAGGCTGTGTCTTCTTGACTTCCAAGTAAATGATCAGGAATGATCTGTTAGCATAAATGTTTTGTACTTGTATACACCAGCTGTAGTTGTAATGAATCTCAGAAAATGTCAGGTTCGTTTGCCATTTATTTATGATACAGTCCGATAATACTTGCAGAAAACAGAAAAAAACACATTTTGTTCCTGAAGGTGTTTGGATTAAACGCATTGAGCGTTGCAACGACAGGCCAGGTGAGCCTCTGCCTCTTCCTGTATGTCAGTGCTCTTCTGGTAGATACTTCTCAGACTCTCAGGGGTGTTCATGTTAGAATCTGCAACAGGATCAGACAGTTAGGCTCAAATTAGTTCTATTAATCAGGCTTTTGTGAACTTGCTGTGATTTCTTGCAGACTCACCAGCAGGCAGGCAGTGGAAGCCAACAGTGACAGTGGTGGTTCTCACTGGCATACAGCCAGGCAGACAGCGCAGCACAGGCTCCACAGAGTAGCACTTGGACTCCTCACCGTGCAGGATCATCTGCTTCTCCAGCTTCACAGATGCAAGCTTCATGTAGCACTCTGGAAGAGGGCAAAAAATAAGATAAGCACAGTGCATATACATATGTTTTTCCAGTCTGATTCTAATTGGTGTTCTAAATATTACCAGAGGCATCACGGCAGCTCTTTCCAGGCAGAACCCAGGAATGAGCATAACTGGCTGCATTCTTTGACATGCGCTCATTGGGTGTGCGGTACTCTTGTCTGATTTCCCCGTCAGCCTTTCCACAGAGTCCACAAGTCTGGCCTCTCATCCAGTCCACAACTTTGACCTGAAGAAAAAACATTTCAGTGGTTCTGGAACTATAACTGTAACTGCCCCATTACCACAATGCATGCTGATAAAAGTTGAAATCCAGAAAAGTCACACAATCCAGATAACTTGTCTCACCTTCAGTGAGTTCACATTGAGGAAGACCTCCTGAAGACCATGGTTGGGAGCATGGAGAGCGATACCCTCTTCTTTCTGCCTGATCTGAATAGTGCCTGAAATGAATACAAATAAGTGTGAATATAAATACATGTGTGTTTTCTTACACTTTAAACACATGGACGTGATGGTTCCATTTAATTAAAAAAAAAACAAGAAACCTTCGGGATGCTGATAAGGCAGGTTGTTGATGGGGATTTCTACTCCGTTAACCTTCACCACAATGGCGTCGTCCTTTGGATACATGTCAACATCACTGTTGAAAAACAATTGGATTATGAATTCAAGGTATTATAGTTGTATGATAATTGGATCTTTGATTTGGGCAATTTCCATGAGTTAAATATAAACACTGCTTTGTTCGTACATGTTTGCAATCTTCACATTGATCTGGTTTTGTTCCTGATTTTGGTCCCTCTTCAGCAGAACTATGAATTTGAGTTCTGGGGTGCAATCCTGAGCCAAGACCTGGTAACAAGAGTGAGGCATCTCGTTCTTGTATTTCCTGTTGTTAAATGTGATCACTGTGTCCTTGGTCATGGTGCACTCAGCTGGAGTGGAAAGAAAAATGTAAGTTAGTTACATACAGAGCAGTCTGAATGATCAGATATTCTGTCCCTTTTAATGTTTTCACCCGAATGAGCCTTGGTGAGCATGTAGATGATCTTATCAGTCCAGTTATCCTGGTATGGTTCCAACTCAACTGCAGTTTCCCCCATTGGCAGAGAAACGGGGATACCCACTCCAAGCTTGTAAATTGTCTTCTGTAGAAAGAACAAATCACTATGGTTGACCAGGTGAAACACATACATTTTCTTTTTTAATTATAGTAGGAGAGAAAACCACACCTTTGGTGTCTTCAGAATAACATTCAGACTGGTTTCAGATGCAACAGCCACAGTCAGTCTGAGCTGGTTACGAACATTCTTGACCTTTGCCAGGCTGACTCCGGCTTCGCGAGCAATACGGGCAATGTACTCAGAGAGGCTGGACAGATAAAAAGAAAAGGAGTCTTTGAATAAAGGTCTAATTTAGTATTGACTAATTTATAGCTCTTAGACAGGTTTCTTAGACAATTATCTGCAGGTATTATTTTGTGACATTACTCCTTTGCATAGCGCTGCATGTTCTTTGGAAGTTTTTCCCAGGTCAGCTTCAGGCGGAAAGCAGGCTGTTTACCCACAAGACCAGTTTCAGCTGTGATCTCAGTCTCGTACTGCTTGCATTCAGTGCCCCAAGCGATCTTGGCCTAAGAGACATTCAAAGCAGAGTAAAATCTTAATATTTTCTCTCAAATTTCAAAAAATTTTTACTAACATGATTCATTTCACCAAAATCAAGCTTTTACCATCAGCTTGTGGCTGCTTAGCATCACACCATCAGCACAGATTCTGAAGTGGTCATTCTCAGCCAGGTTGGCAAAGATAACCTGCAGTCTGGCAGTGGCTTTGTCAAAGTAGGCAGCAATCTGGTATCCCTGAACCTTGTGGTCGGCTCTCACGGCACGGATGAGAACAGTCACAGCAGGAGCAACAGTGTTAGCCAGGTACTTTGCCTGAAAATGGAAAATAGAGATTGTAATGAAGGTTTCGTTTTTTACCCCTACTAAAAACCTGAGCTTGTTATGTTGACTAAATTACCTTATTGTAAATAGCTTCTGAGCTGTAGGCACTGCTCTTGCTGTTTGCACGAGCTGTGGAGACGGCATGCTGAAAACAAAGACATTTACTTAGCCTTCTCAAACAATGTATATGGTGTAGAAGTGTCATGCACCTTACAGCACATTCTAATAATTACCTGGTGGATGTGGTTCTTGGTAAACTTCATGTCATGCAGCTTTTGCTGCAATAGAAAATAAGAAGATTAATTCCTTCACATGGTTTTTGAGTGTACTCCTTTTACTTATCAGAGAAGAAGTTGTATTTCACCTTGGACATGGACTTGCTGCTGGACTGAGCAGATGAACGGCTGCTTGAAGAGGAGCTGGAGGAGCTGCTTGAACGCTCGCTGGAGGAGCTGCTGGAGCGGCTGGTCAGTCTCTTTGATTTCTTTGGGGCATCAATGTTGACCATTTTGCTTGCACGGCGAGAGGAGGAACTGGAGGAAGACTGGGATGATACAGACGAGGAGGAGCTTGAACGAGAGCTGCTGGAGCTGGAGGAAGCTGAGCTGTTCTTCAGACCAGGAACCAAGATTTTCCTGAGCTTCATCAGGATGTTTTTGTCCTCTAGAATCTCCTCTTCCTCGCTCAGATTAATCACTTTGATGATCTTTTCTGCCGCTTTGTCTCCAAGCTGAATCTCGATTTCAATCTTCTCGATGACTGGTCCAGCAGCTGCAATAAGACAAATGAATTGTACATTATGTTCCAGCAACTTTCAAAACTACTTTTTAATTATTTGTATCAGTATTTTATTGTCACTCACCTGGAGCAACCTCAACCAAGACAGCATGTTTTCCAATGATGGCATAGAGTGGACAGTCCTTGATGAAGGCAGCATTACGGGATTCAATCTCAGTGCAAGCCTTTATTCCAAAGGTTTCAAATGCAGCACACATTTTCTTGTCAAAGCCCTTGGGGAATTTCAGTTTGTTGACAATCTTTCTTGGCAGTTGAGAAATGAGTTCAGATGATACTGACTGTAAAACAAAGATCACTACATAAGTTTCAAACAGTGCAGGATTTTGTGTTGGAAAAGGTTATCAGCGTATCAAACTCACAACGTCATCAGCCATTGAGGATGACATCCTTGAAGAGGCCTCCCTTGACATCTGTAGTGTGGCTTGAGCAGGAATCATTGGTGTGATCTTGGCAGCTGTGAGGTCTTCCACATTTCTTGCAACAGCATAAGTCTCAACACTAGGAGAAATAAATAGGAGAAAAATTGTTTAGGAAAAACTAAACTTCAAAACTAGATTATATATATTTTACTTGGAAGGAAGGAAAAGTACATACATTGCAGATGCGATCTTATCGATGCCCTGGACAGGCAGCAACTGAAGCTTGAAGTTGCCCTTGATCATGTCAATTCTTGCCTCAATCTTTGCAGGAACAATTGTGTGAACTCTGGCTCTTGACACCAGGGTGGCTTGGATAAGAGCAGTATTCACACCCATAACTGCGTAGGTGTGCATGGAAACACTGCAAGTGACAGAAAGATATATTTATTTTTCTGCTTGTCAAGAATAACGGTGAGAAGAAGCTCATTTGAGCAAACTAAAGCCAGTTTACCTTGGAGCAATTGCAGCCCTCATGTTGACGTCAGACTTCAGAAGCTGAGCAGGATGGAAGTTCGCAGGCAGAGGTGGTGTCACAGTAGCTTGGACTATGAAAAACAACACATGTTTAGCATCTGCACAAATCGATTTCTATTTTTTAGTATTTCTATCAATAAATATTTCAGATCAGTTAAGTTACACCCATGATACGTACACTCAACAGATGCAGCAGCCACAGCAGCTGTGTAGAAACTCAGCTCCATTGGCAGACCAACAGCGGTGGGAATGATACGACGGACCTCTGCAACCAGCATTGGTTTAGCATAATGCAGAGCAATGCCGGACAGCAGGGTATCCAAAGCCTTCCTGCCATAACTGTGAAGTGCAGGTCCAGTGGCCAGCTGGAGGAACAAAAGGCTCATGAGACACCAGGTTTTAAATTCAAAGTATAATTAATATTTGGAAGTCATAAAGTACAAAACAATAGAAAACGCTTTACCTCAATGATCTGATCAACAATAGCTTTGTCGATGTTGGCAAATGCAATTTCCTGTCCAAAGAATTTCACATACAGAGAGCCCAGGGGCTGGCTGGAAGGATGAGCCCTCCACTCAGAAAGCTGTAAGGAAAAAATACAACAGTGAATCAACTATTGTAACTACAACAAACATAACAAACTTAAAAAACATAAAAATTGGTAGTTTTGGGACTGGGATGTTCCCCTGAACTTACAGCCTTTATAACTTGTTTCATCTTGGTGATTCTGTCAGCATTTTCAGGAGCCTCCTTGATTTTCAGAAGGGCTTCCTGGACTCCTTCAGCTCTCACTCCAACCTGGACACAAGAAAAGCAGCATTTGATGGACAGTTTTTTAAATGATCACTGCACAAATAAACAATGTATCAGTGGCGGTGGCATTCTTTCATTGTGAGATGAAAGATTGATAATTGTCATACCTCAAGAACATCAGCGTATGCTCCAGCAAGGTAGGTGCGAGCTTTGGCCACGATGGCTCTTGGCAGAAGTGTTGCAGCATCGTTAACATAGAAGGCAGAGGCGGCAGCACCCATCATCCAGGGGTCTGCATGGAGAAAACCCGAACCATCAAGTTACACATTTCAATATGAAAACTGCAATGTTAATTGTTCTGCTGGATCTTTACTTACTGTGATAGGCATCCACATAGAGAGCTTTGCTGAAGCGATAGCTCAGTCTGTCGAATTTAGGGCTGAGGATCTTCACAGCAACATTGCAAGCCGCAGCACTGAAAGTTGAACATAATAAAAATATACGTATATGAGACTGTAGGTGCGAAGATGTTTACATGAAATAAGTAAATTGTAAACTGCAATATTACTGAGGTTCTTACACAGAAGCGAAGTCGGGAGCAGTGTTCTTGGTCATGGCCTTCATGTAAGAGTAGACAAAGCTAACGACTTGCAGGTTTTTTTCTTTCAAGAGGGCATCAGCAAGAGTGGTCACCAGACCCATGGGCAGCTTTGTCTCAAACAGCACAATAGCAGAAACCATACGGAGCTCTGGGTGCAGAGCCTTGCTCATGAACAGCTGAATGGCAATATCTTGGATCTAATTCACAGAGAAGAATTGTTTCAGATAACACTGCACATAACAAGACAGGCCTGAGCTGTATTCACTGTAAGTAATGGAAGGAGTCAGAATATCCAGTCTCACCATCTTGGGCTCTTTCTTTGCAATGTTCCTCAAAGCCAAAACAGCATCAATGTGAACTCTGAGTGGCAGATTAGTAGCAGCACTTCCAAAGCCAGGCAGGAGCTTCAAAATTGGTTTAAGGCTGGCAGGATGTCCAGCATTACCCAGAACTTTCAGAAGGACGATAAGCTCCTCAACTTTACCTTTGGCAAGAGCCTCGACAGCAAGTTCATGAATGGGCTGTGGGAGGAACAGAATGGCATAAGTTTCACTTATGCTGTAACTGAATTTTAGTTACATCAAACAAATAAAAATGATACCTACCCTCACAAGCTCAGCAGGGCAAATTGGATTCTGTGCACAGTATTTGGCAACCATAGTGCCGTAGCCCAGCAAGACGATCTCGCGCAGGACTGGGTTTTCTTGGATGAGGCGGTTCATAGCCAGGCCCTGTGAAGTGGTGAAAATAACTGATTACATGCCCATGTTCTCACTTTGTTTAAAACACACAGGACCTCTTTTAAGCTCAACTTACCTCAATAAGCTTAATGGCTTCCAGGTCAGCTGTCACCATGTGCACAGATGCCAGCAGAGCTTGAGCAACTTCAGCAATAGTCAGCTCACCAATCAGGAACTTCTCCTTGATGAACCTCAGAGCAGTGTGAGTTCCAATGGCGGGGACGGCATTCAGCATCCAGTGCCTAAGAGAGAGTAATACTGTATTATTATACTATTCGTTACATTTTCATTTTATTGGTCTTCTCTGAATTAAAGTTACCTGTGATCGGGTCTAGCTTTGAACCGAGTCCAGAGAGCCTCAATACTCTCAAATCTGGCCACACGCAACAGCTGGATGAGCTCAATAAACTTCAGAGGGGCATCTTCATGGACCTTGGCCACATTGTAGGTCACCAGGTGGTTCAGAGTCTCAACAATCTAGAAGTAAAAAGAAAATTTTTCCCTTAACATTCTATGTTGCTACAGGATTGATTCAGTAAAAATCTGGTCAAAAGAGGGAGTGTTGTCTTAAATACCTGAGCCTCGGCATTGCTGATCCTCAGAAGCTGGATGGGTGTCTGGAGAAGCTCGCTGCCAAACTCGTACTGCAGGGATCCACGGTGAAGATATTCAGCTTTGATGGGCTCCACTGGAATCTTCTCAATCTCCACAAAGCTCAGGACTTGCCTTTGAATAGACATAAGCAATCAGTTAATCTACCATGTGACACTTTGTTCTGTGAAAAGTGGTTTCAATGCTCTTTAATTTAGACAACATACTTAGCTTCCATTTGGGCAGCACCATTCAAGATGTTGAAAGGAGAGAACTGAATGAGCTCTGTAGTGGTTGCCTCCAGGATCAGAGCACCGGTGGCTGCTGGCTTCAAGACATAGTTAAATGCAGCGGCTCCCTTCAGGGTCTTTCCTCTCTGTATGAACAACCACGTAAGAATATTATCACAGCTGCACTGGGAGTGCATGATGTCAGAGTAAGTAGAGTCGGGGAAAATGTACTTACAGCCTCACACTCCACGCATTTCTCGGTGTAAGCCAGGCCAATGTCCTTAATGATTCTCTCCTGACAATTGTTCAGGTCCTTGGTCTTGCTGAGAAGAATGCGTTGAGCCTTTGCATCCTCACTGATGACGTAGTGGGTTTTGCACACACCCTGAGCACCAGGCTAAATCACAGAAGTCAGGTGTTTAAGTATTATAGCGTCTTGTTGGTGGAACTCCATGACAATGAGTAATTCATACCTCCTGCAGCTCGTACACGTTCTGGGTCTTCTTGATGTTCAGCTGTAAGATGTTAAGGACTCCCCTCAGGATATTCAGCACAGTTGCAGAGATACCAGCCGGGGCAAACACTTTGCCGACAACACCGTTAGCATACTCAAACTTGATGGGTGTCAAGAGCTGAGCAGCCAGGGCTGAGGTGAGCTTGGTGGCCGGGATGAAAGCATCTTTGGGCCAAATTCCACTGTACTCAAAGATTTCAGGGTCTACAAGCTGTGAAGAAAAAGTGACAGTTCAAATCAAATGTAAAGATAGGAGACAAAAATATACATTTTTATCAATAATTGTAAGTGGTCTTTACCTTCAGCATGAAGATGTCGGCAGCGGCAGCATGGATCAAAACTTTGCTCCGGACTTTTAGTCCGGCCCTTGCCAGTCCTTCCTCTGGCAAGCCACCCATAAGAACTGCTTCATATTTGTACACGTAGGTCTTTCCAAGAGCAAATTCTGGGGCTGGAATAATATTGAAATATAATGACTGATAGGAATTTGCTTTAACCTTCAAAAAGTCAAATAAGCCAGGAAACTATATCTCATCAGTCTTTTTGTATTTCAGTAGAATTTTTAAAGTGACACAGACAGCAATTTAATGCCTTTCAACATTTATAAGTCCTTTTTGTTGAAAACTTTTTTTCTTTATCGGATGATTGGATATTTTGATATGAAGTTAGAAAACCTACCCAGGCTGACCTGATACCCGGCTGAAAAAAAATTCAAAAGAGAGTTATTTTTGATGACACAATATGTAAATAAAAAACAGTGAATTTGTAAAAGACAAATGTATTAACATTTACCTTCCAAAATTGTATTTACAGTACATTCGGAAAGTATTTAAACCACTTCACTGTCTTTATGGCAGGAGGTCTATGGAACAGGGAGGTCTCTAAAAGACTCATCTCTGCTTCACTGATCGGATAAAACCAAAATAGTTTGTCCTTTATTCTGACAACATGACTCGAGGAAACAAGGCACTGATGGTCCCAATCCATCCTGACACAGCTTGAAAGGATTTGCAGAGAAATGGCTGGAGGTCCCCAAAAGGTTTGCAGAGCTTGTCACATATATTCAATAAGACTTTGGGCTGTGATTGCTGCCAAAGGTGCTCAACTAAGAATCTCTTTTTTCTTTCACAATTCACAATTGAATTTGTAAATAAATTCTACAATTTGTGTAAATTGATTTGGGGAAAAGCAAATTTAAATAATAAGGCTTGAACATTAAAAAGTGAGTGAGTCTAGATTCTCTCTGCTTGCGATGTAATCACTTTTATGTTCTAGGTTTTACATAAGCCATGGCAGCAATTGCAAATTTTTCTCTTCATTTTTGAAGTTTAAACATTTAAACCAAAGATCAGTGGAGAACTATTGCCCATCTTCATAACAGTGTTAGTATATCCTTCTAAAGACAGCAACATTTTCAGAAAAAGAAGTTAAAATTAAGCAGATCTAGTTTTAAATGTTTGACGTACCTGCAAGAGCCACAGCAAGAGCTAGAAGAAGCACCCTCATGGCTGGTGGATGTGACTGACTGATGACCAGAGGCTTCCTTTTAAAGCAAATTTTTTGCGGATGGTGTCCTCATCAGGATATATCATTAACTAAATATGAGCTTTCATTGAAGTCACCATGCCCTGACCAGCTACATTAGACAAACAGAGTGAAAAGAACAATGTCACTGATGACAAGTTCTAACCTTTATGGCACAATCAGCTACAAGCATGTA